GTCAACACTCAGCTTCAGCCTAGGCAATCAGTAAGTTCTATGTCCATACAACACCTGTGAACATGAACCTATGTCACCTTACTCTAGTTATACGCTCTTCGCCTTCGCTTTCTTCGACTAAGGTACTGGCAGCCGGCCCCACAAAATCATACTCTCGCTTACCATCTACTACATATTTCATTCCAGGTTTGTAGAACTCCTCAATTCTTGGTAATGCCCCTCTGATGCTGGGTCTCAGACATTGTATTGCTTTGAGGCATAGGTCTAATCACGCCGACGAGCAGTTCAAGACTGTCCGTGCGCTATACAATCAGGAAGATGGGATGTTTCAAGCCCCGTTCCCAATTCAAGTTGGTCGCTTTCAATGTCCGGACGCTCATGCACACAGGATCGCAGGCAGTTACTGCTCCCATACTTGGAACCCACACCATCGATATCTGTTGTTTCGCTGAGACCCACTTACAAAACGCCAGTAAGACCTTACTGATAACATCATTTTATGCGTGTTGTCATGGTCCATTCACACTACGCCCATCCAGATAGGCAACTTATGAAGTCGCAGGCAAGGCCAGTGTGAAAATTGCGTTACGCGAACGCAAAGAAGCAGCACAAATTGTGTGGATCCCAGTTACTAACCGATCCTGTGCACTTCAACTAGAATGGTACAGCCACGAGATTATCAAACGCTGTTTGTTTGTTGTAGTGGAGTTAGCTAAGGACGAGTTCTACTGCGAAGTCCCCGACTTTTTCCATAAGAAGCACCGAATGATTTCCATGGTTCTCGCCGGATACTTAAACATGCAGATCAGTGGACTACAAGCTGACGAACGATATCCCCGTGGTCTACATGGTCATAGTATTTGCAGGATAGATAGCATAGATCGCTTTCTACAGCTTTTGTTTATCACTGGTAGTTCTCCTCGAACACCAACTTTCAGCGCTCCTGGCCACAGCGCGTCACCTGGCGACCCATTCGCCTGAACAGCCATGCGCCCAGATTGACCATATCGCTATCAGTTACCACTGAGGATGCTGCATAACGGACCGCAAATCAGTCTGCAATACTTGTCTCAATCATGATCAGGCTGTTGTGTGCCCTGAAGTTGCCATTCGCTTTGGTGGCATCCAATAGCATAGTCCGAAACGGCTTAAGGTAGCCAAGCTTGCCTCTCCAAATATTCCCAGTGCCTTTCAGAACTAGTAAGCTTATAATCCCCACAGCCATCCACTCCATTACCATGAGGCGCATTGGACGCATATTAGGAGTGCAGCGCAGAATTCTGCCAATGCCATCTGCGGTTTTACGGGGCACACCATCAACTGATGGATTTCCACTCGATCTGTTCAAGTTATGGAAGATTGCCGGACCATTCCTGTTGGTGTTGTTGAGCCATACACATTACACTTAGCTACTAACGCCGAGCTCAAACAGCTCCTTTGGGAAGATCGCGAAACCTGGTCGACGAAGCATGTCATCGAGATGGAACAAGCCGCGTCTTCAGAGAAATTTCGCAGACTTCTACCTGTTATCTAATCCACCGATGGCAAGAAGCCGACTATAAGTGAAGTGGTATGTAAAACCAGCATTGAGCCAATTCACGGTCACCAAAGCTGGATTGTGCGTTGAGCCGAGCACTGCTCTCGATTTGCTATTCTTGTGTCCACTGGTGTGTAAGCACCTCCACGTCATTTGATGCCGAGGTTGCTCACGAACTTCATGCTCGAACCGTCAAAATACCTACTGATTCCGAGGAGATGGAGGCCAATCTCTCCTTTCTGAATTGATTACCCCTATTCAAGAGATTAGGACAACAAGGACCATCCCATTTAATTTAAGTCTAAAGCACATCGTATCCGTCTTCTGAAGGGGAATGCACCAAATGCCGAGGGAGCAGCCTCTTATGCGTTGCGTCCAAAGTACTCGCTTCCCTGTTTCTATGGACGCATAAGCGCACAGTAGGTTGCGTGCCGCACAGGTAAGAGCTGTATTGATCACATTCTGACTACGTGCCAGGTAATCGATATACATATATATATATATATATATATATATATATATATATATATATATATATATATATATATATATTCACAGTCTGTTAACAGACATTGTGCAAACAGAACAATGGCAGAAAAAACGAAGAAGATGGGAACACTAATGCGATTAAAAAATATGGGAAACGAGTTTGTTTGGTTTTACACACCATTTTGTATTTTTGTTTTGTTTTGTGAGTTTTTGTGTGCATCAAAGGGATGGTGGAATTGCAGAACAACATTGCCGCCACTGATGTCTGTTGCGGGCCATGACGTCCAATGTTTCCAACCACTGCGATTCAGCATCTCGTGGTCCCCAACCTGGAAGACTGACTGGTCCGACTGCCGCCAAACTTGAGGTTGCCTTCTTCATACTCCTTCTCCACGTCATCGGCTGTCCACCGCGGCACTTTTTCCAATCGCTCCCTGGGAGGGCAAATGGCGCTCGACGTGGAAGGCGATGGGCTGGCATGCGCAGAACGTGCCCGAGCCAACGCATGCGATGTCGGAGAATAACGTCCTAAAGACTGACACTATTCGCCCCAAGCACGATGTCTCGCACCTCTGCGTTGCTTACGTGGTGTTGCCACTACACTCGAGCAATCCTTCGTAGACAGCGATTGTTAAAGACTGACAGCCGCTTCAAATCTTCCGAGCGAATAGGCCAAGTCTCACAGCCGTACATGAGTACTGCACGGATGAAAGCATTGTACACTGTGCCCTTGAGCTTGAGACTGATATCACGACGACGCCATAGGTGTCTAGGTTTGATGAATGCAAGGCGGGCCTTTGCAATCCGTTGTGAGACTTCATCTCCAACACCGCCACCAGCCGTGATGCAACTCCCTAGATAAGTAAAGCAAGGGACTTGCTCCAGAACATGTCCAGCAATGGTGAGCGCGGGTTCAGGCACCTGCCAGTCCTGGAGCAGCGTTTTACATTTTCCCGGAGTGAAGCATAAGCCGTACTTAGACGCCTCCATCGCCAAGCGGTCAAAGCACTCTGGACGGATTGTGGGTCGTCCCCCAGCAAGGCGAAATCATCGGCGTAGTCCAAGTCCGTGACTCTGTCTCCAGTGAGGAGCTCAACTCCGCAGTCCTGAACACCTTCCAGTGCTCTTTGGAGAACATCTTCGATGGTGAAATTGAAGAGGAAAGATGAAATAAGGCAACCTTGGCGAACACCGCTGGTCACAGCAAATGAAGAGGAGTGAGTGCCGTAAGCCCTAACTTGCCCGACGTGTGACTGTAAAGTACTTTCAGGATAGTTACAAACTTGTCGGGCACACCTTTCTTCAGTAAACAGTTCCACAACGCAAATCTATCTACTGAATCAAATGCCGCTCGGATGTCCAAAAACACTACGACTGTTGGCCGTCGGTGGATGTGACAAAGTGCGAGAACTTGCTGAAGCGTGAAGATTTCGTCGATGCAGCCGCGGCCTGGACGAAATCCGGCTTGTTCTTCTCGGGAAAACCTCTCCAGTCGTTGAAAGCATGCCAAGTAGGACCGACACGAAGATTTTGGATGCGACAGAGATTAGGGAGATTCCGAGGTAGTTGCAGCAATCGGTGCGGGAGCTCTTCTTGTGAATCGGAACAATTACCGATTCTCCCCATGAGCTAGGAACCTTCTCTTCAGTCCAAACTTTCGTGAACAGTGATAGGATTTCGCTGACAAGTACACTCCCACCATCTTTGAATAGAGCCGGTGGTAGGTTGTCGGGACCCGAAGTCTTATGGCGTTTCAAAGATTGGATTACATTTCGAATCTCTGCTTCATTTGGGGGGGAGGCTGTGGAGACAGACCAAGCATCATACATTGGGGATGGAGGTGCCGCAGGGAGTTGTGTTGGGTGGTTGGATTGAAGAGCGAAATACTCTGCCCAGCGACCCAATCGCCTGTGAAGGTTGGTGATCTTCGTACCGTCTGATTCGCAAATCGTCTGGCTGATAGCGTGGAAATTGCAACCAGTGGCCCTGATGATGTAAAATAGACGGTGGAAGTTGCCAGCTGATGCAGCGGCTTCCATCTCACCAGCTTGTTTTGACCACCAAGGTTCATGAGCAGAGCGAAGACTTGCTTTCAGCTGTTGCGCAATAGACCGGAGGTGTTCGTTGTACTCTGCGCCAGCAGGCACCGCCCGTCGACGATCCAGCAATTCTGAGGATCTCCCCGAGATCCAGCATTTGGGAGTGGAGCGAGTGAGGCCACAGCTGGACAAACCGGCCGACAGCAAGGCTTGTTGCAGACTTGACCAGTGTTAATCAATATCCAGAGTGGGAGAGAGCAAGATTTTCACGAAGCCTTTGTTGATACTCCTTCTTCACTATTGGGTCCTCTAACTTCTGGGTGTTCAGTCGGGTGTGTTTGGACCTAGGCGAACCACCAAAACGCATACAAACGGTCGCACACACCAGTGCATGATCAGTATCGACGCATGTAGACCAAAATGATCAGCAGTCTCGTACACTGCCGCGCCACCTGCGACTTACAGCTATGTGGTCAATCTGCGACCAACGCTGGGTTGGTGATGAGGGGCGCCACCAAGAGTGCTCGACCTGCCATCCGTTTAAATCTGCTACACTTGTCAACTGCTTTCGAGCTACTTGGTTGAAAATGTTGTAAAACTTGGTTAATAATAGCGCGAAGCACAGTAAACTAGGCATCAGTTAAAGGTCCAAAATGAGCAACAGGTGACCGATAGAAGTACGCTAAGCTAGTTCTTTCGCGAGCAAAACTGTTGCACCAGATAATCCCTGTCCTTTATCTAACGTCTAAGAGTACAGCTTAGCACTGACCATTATTGAGGTGCGTTTGTTTCTATCTATGAGAAAAAGTAGTTCAAAGCACTCGGGTCATAAAATACCCTACGCAAAAATAAACGATGCAACCAAATATTTCTGGACAAAGGAAAAGGCTTGACAATTCATTCCAAGTGCAGTGGGATGTAAACACAGTGCTCACCCGCATCATCTTCTTCACTGAATAAGCAAGCGAAATGGTCACAGCTAGTGGTAATCCTTCGGGAACGGCGACCACCAACACTGTGACACCGATGATCACAAATCGTACAAACTGATGCAAGTGGCGCCCAGTGTCCCAAGGCTCTTTGTCAAAGTAGAACGTCTGCACAGAAAATTTCACCACCAAGATGATCACAGTAAGACTGGCGACCACCGTGCCTGGATAAAGTGAGAAAGTATAGCAAGCTTCGAGCACTCAGTCTGAAGTATTAATCATCGGTCACCACTAAATAGCACAGTAAATCGTAAACTTTCAAATAGTACAATAACAAATAGTGCAAGGTGAGTTGCAGACTTGAAACAGTGTTTCACAGCTTGAGAATTGTTCATTAGTGAAACACAAATCGTCTCAACCTGAGCCTTTAATCCTGTTCTCCGAACCCATCATTATTCAAAAAAATCGGCATTCTGTTCAGCACGTACAAACAAGTAACTAAAACTCAAACCAAACCCATTAACGGTGTAAGCATGTCGTTTGTCGCTATTCTGTTGGGACATCTTATATAAATGGCGGTTTGGTACAAAAGTGGTAGAACCGAATCCGGGGTGCTACTGGTTATATTACCTAATTGACCGATCAAGCCGGCAAGATGAGTTAGCTTGGCTTGTAAAACTGAGTACTTCTTTTTGCGCTTCCTTGGCTTCGTCGCCGCATCGAGACTGGTCTCATTTAAATCTTTAGTGTCGCCACCACTGGCTCCGTTCTCCATTGCGATTGTCGATCGGTTGCAACGCTCTGTATGGTCACCGGTTGCTGTCAATTTGTCCATTTCTACGTCTGGAAAAAGAAATGTAAGCACCTCTATTTATTGGGAGAAAAAATTCATGAAGAGAGGCAAACTATAGAAAAGTCGTCCTTAGAAGTGTGATCAGTTGCTATTTTGCCATGTAGTCAGCTGCGTTAATCGTTAGACATGCTTGAATTACTAAATATTGAGAGTGTAAATGTACTCAGAGTACCCTAATAAGACCAGTTATGCATGCTGTTAGCATTCGCCCTGTGGGAAACTAGTTGCAATATCGAAGACATACTGCGTTCTCTGAGGAGCTCTGGAAAGTAAACGCTGCCTCTATGATTGAAAAGTGTGTGAGTATACGAAAAATCTTCCGATGATAAAGCTGAACAATTGTATCCAGGATCCAGGTAAGAGCACTAAGCAGAGATCATTTATGGTGTATTAGTATGCACACCATGAGTGGTAGTGGGGACAACATAATCAGAACCATTTTTACTCCAGTCAGTGAGAGTATTGTGTGCGATTTTATCGCATGGAATTGTGGATTTCAACTAATACAATTTTGGGCAGTTGTTTGCTGTGACAAATCCTCCGATGCGTATGATTTCTTGTCAGTGAGCATAGGAGAACGGATATTCCAAGCCCCTTCGTCCTTCACACGATCACGTACAGAATTCCGCGTGTCTGGTATAGCTGTCCCTTCCATAATCAGCAGTTAGTATAAGACGCAATCCTACTTTAGTGGACTGCGATAACTGGTTTCCGGTTGGGCAGTGTGATGATTCTCAGCCTGTTTACGCAGAGAACTGAGACACAATTTTCCGGAGCGCGTGATCCCACTGCAGTTGATCGCGTTCGGAATAAGCACAACCACCGTTATGTTGCTACTCTTTTTAAACTGATTACAGAAGAGTAGTATGGGGAGTTGAATGGTATAGGAAGGAATCGTCACATCTAGACTCACAGACAGCCGCCACACGCCAGGAAAAGTACTGTATGAGCGTTTCATCCTTTCAGAAATTGTCAGCGGTGCGCATTCAATCGGACCCTGATAGGGATCGAACCCGCAACTCCACTGTTGCCAGTCCGTGGTTGAGACCACTGAACTACGGGGGACGGCAACGACCATCGTGAATAAGTTACTAGATGTGATATAGCGCCGCTCACTATCCACTGACTTACACGTTACTGCCGTGCAGAGAACAGGGTAGCCTCCTCACCAAGCGACGAGAGAAGAAATCATTCAATACCAAATGTTATTTCCATTCCTTGTTTATCCAAAAGGATGATCGGATTGATAACACTGGATGTGCAAACAACCAAAAACAATACAATAATCAGGAAACCCGCCTTTGATACTACCAGCTTGCCTAATGCGGAATAGCATCCTTAGCTACAACACAACCACACTACAAGCTCGGTAGACTAAAAGGTAGGAAACTGGGATTTGGCAAAACGCGGTTCCCCACATGCTCCTAACAGCGCGACGAAAGAACGTCATAGCGAATTCCAAAACATTCTACCCACTAGGTTTAAATGTCAGGTGCCATTTATATGTGTACCGAAATGGAAAGGTTGTCAACCTGTGGGCCAACTTCCCATCAGGTCTCTTCGGCAAACGGCTGGGGAGCGTGTGTTAGTTTTGCACATATCAAAATTAGTCTGGGCACTGTGTCACAAGCCAAGGCAAGCAACGGCTGGACATTGATTCCTAGTCCGTCGGCCTTAGTTTCATGCGAAACCAACGAAAATCAAGAAAGAAACTAAATACGGGTTGTTTCTTCGGAAAATCACTGGACTGTCTAAAGACACAGTTAAAAGAGATCTTAAGCTTCCATCAACGCCTTTCGAGTTATTCCCAAAATGAGTCGGGGAGATAGTAAGGAACTAACGAATTGATTTCTTGGATAACGCCCTACTCCTGGACACATCGGTTAGGTGTATGTTGTGTTAAATATAAGATAGTCATTTTTCAGTGACAATCTAAGCCGTTTACCATCATTTTCCTGTGATGATACAATGAAGTGTTATCCACACAGCCGGAGCAAGCACAATTAAGGGAGATTAACAAGCTGGTGCTGGCGGCCGCAAGCGAAGCATAACACACTCAGCCTGAAGCTTCACTTGAGTAGACAAGGATAAGTTTAACCTCAGTGTAACTACGGGCTAAAGCTTTCGAATGTTTAATATTTCGGTAAAACCTGCTCAGCTGAGAAAACTACAGCATCCACCCAGATGTAAAACGTTGGCTGTGATCGATGGGGTATCGAAGGATTTTCCTGCCAGAGTTAATGCGCGCAATAACAGCGTCCCGTGCGCCCAACAGTGTTTTTGTTAGAAAACCCGGCATATTAAAAATATGCCACTACAATTATATACTAATGATATACATGCGATGATGTCGTGACGCTTTTTGTTTTGTGGACTCTGTCACGGATAATAATATACAAATGAAAAGTAGAATCCTTAGACCATGCCCATTAGAATGTAACAAAACGATGCTGCAAAAAGATCTCTTTTCGGAAAAGTACATTAGGCAAATAGGTTTACAAGATTAACAGGGAAAAGCCCAAGTCAATGTAAGCTGAAGATAAAGTGGTGGAGAGTCAGAACTGGCTCAATTCGTTCAAACGGAAGTTAAATTGATCGCCTCAGCTCGCTGACTTCGTGAAAAAGTGTTAGTCGAGGAGTGAAACCACACTCGGTCATCATCAGTGTTGCGTGCGGATGGAAACTCGTCACGGCCACGATAAAGTGAGAGATTCAAATGGCATCCACTGCTTGCAAAGCTCTAGTTGCGTTAACTTGACCACTATGGATTGGGCTATCTCTAACAGCAGTCTCCTAAGTCACTTAAGATACCGTTTCGGGAAGGTGTACAAAATGTTGAAAGCATCCTTGTTCAAAATTTCGAATTCACTTTGAGCCAGATGTTCGAGGGACTTCTTGATACTTCCGGTAGTGCCTTTTCGCAGAGACCCCGAACATTGCTCAGCTTGCACCAAAGGTGAAAGCTAGGAGTGACTGTGTTGGACTGACATTGAGTTCACTGTAACCCAGTCTCAATGCTTACGTCTATTGCCCAACATTCACTCGTCACTCTTTTATCTGTAAGGGTATTGGCTGATTATGACTCGGGGCAGTGAAAAAAGCAAGGAAGCTGTCTCGCCGATGCCGCCTTAGCTTTGCACGATAGCCAACCGTTTGTGACGGTATGTTGTTGACAAGGCTTAGGCGTCTTGACCCAGAATATTTGCTTATAGGATTTAGGTTTTACGCTAGGTACCCCTTCTCCCCTCCTTTTTATTATTCTTTCTGTAGGACAGTGTGGTTGTACGGCAGCATAGCATCAGTTTGGATGACTGATGTAATGCTGTTGATGTTGGTGGTTAGTTATTACTGTAATACCCAGCAACTGCTCGATAATGCGAACCGATACATTCGCATGGTAATCAAGTCACACGGTATTGCCTCATGCATATAGGAATTAGCACATGACATGAAATATGCAGTGTCAGGACTGGAAGAACATGGCGAGAGAACGGGTGCATTGTAAGCTTGGGCCGATTTGTACACAGCACGGCCCACAGATCTTACGGAAACCTTTTTAGAGTGTAATAACAAGTTACATCATTAGTAGCTAACCCAGTACGGACACCAAACCAGAGATGAGTGCAGCTGCTGCTGATGATGCTACTGGTGCTGGTGATGCCGCTGAAACTGCTGATGCTGCTGCTGACGCCTCTGATGCTCATGCTTATGCTGCTGATGGTGCTGCTGATGCTACAGCTGCTGCCCCCGCTGATGCTGATGCTGCTCCTGATGTGGCTGCTGATACTGCTGACGCTGCTGCTGCCGCTGATGCTGCTGCTGATGCTGTTGCTGACGCTGATGCTAATGCCGAAGCTGCTGCGGATGCTGCTGATGCAGCTACTGAGGCTGCTGCTGATACTGCTGCTGCTGATGCTGAAGCTGATGCTGCTGATGATCATGAGGTCACTGCCATTGCTGCCGCTGATGCTTCTGATACTGATGCTAATGCTCTTGGTGCTGACGCAGCTGATGCTGGTGCTGCGGATGCTACCACTGATGCTGCTGCTGAGGCTGCTGATACTGATGTTGATGTTGATGCTACTGATGCTGATGCTGATGCTGACGCTGATGCTGATGATGTTGATGTTGCTGCTGCTGATGCTGATGCTGACGCTGATGCTGCTAATGATGAGGTTGACGTTTACGTTAAGGCTGCAGTTGCCGCTGCTGACGCTGATGCTGTTGATGCTGATGCAGCTGACGCGGACGCCGCTGATGCTGATGCTGCTGCTGCGGTTGCTGGTGCTTCTGATGCTGTGATGATGTCTTTGCTGCTGATGATGCGCTGCTGATGCTGATGTTGACGCTGATGCTGATGCGGCTGATACTGATGTTGATGCTGCTGATGCTGATGCTGCTGCTGCTGATGTTGATGTTGACGTTGAGGCTGCAGTTGCTGCTGCTGATGTTGATGTTGATGGTGCTGCTGTTGCTGCTACTACTGCTACTGCTACCGCTACTGCTACTGCTACGGCTACTGCTACGGCTACCGCTACGGCTACCGCTACTGTTACTGCTGCCGCTGCTACTACTACTGCTACTGCTACTGTGATTTCCCTGGCCAAAATAACTAATAAAAGTAATAGCAGAGGGATCACTAATGAGAACTAAAGAATTGTTTGGATATTTCATCGGGAAATATCAAATTTATCTGGACGTAACTGGTTGCACTGCTGGGTACTAACTAATGCGATGACAGCGTTAATGACCGTTACGTATACTTTGGACACCACACAAGGAAAGCTGATCTTTCGGGATTTGGCACAATCTGTTGGATCACCTATTTTGAAGAATGGCACGATGTCTGCTAAGTTCGAATTAGCTGGCTCACCAAACTATCTGGCTGGCTGGCTGACTGAACTACCTCATCGTGCCGCTAGCTGGGTGGCTAAGAACTACCTCCTTCCAGCAAAGGATTGAGCGGCAGTGTTCCAGGATGGGTTTCTCT